CATGTGAGGTTCTGGGTATCCTAATACACTGGGATTTGACCATGAGACACTGAACACATGAATCAATCTCACATGCATCCCAAATATGTACAATTCAGATACAGCAATTAATTTTTCTTTTTTAAAGAAAACTATATGAGTAGCCTAGATTGATTTTTCTACACTGAGAACCTTTTTTGTATAAATCAGGAAAAGGAGCTGTGAGAGCTGCTAAGAGGTTTCTGTGGGCAAGAAGTCTGTGGACCCCGAGATGCGGCGGCACCACGGGCAGGTTAGTGGTTGCAGCCTGGGAAAGGCCATGGACTTTGGAAACCTCAACTCTAATGCCATTCTTAGAGGGAAGCTTCTTTCAGGTTTGCCATCAAATGGTGGATATCACAGTTTTTCAAGTCTAAAAATCATATGTCTCACTTTAGGCCAGGAGTTCGAGACCAGCCTGGCCAACATGGTGAAACCCCATCTCTACTAAAAATACAAAAATCAGCCAGGCGTGGTGGTACACATGCCTGTAATCGTAACTAATTGGGAGGTGGAGGTTGCAGTGAGCCAAGATCGTGCCACTGCACTCCAGCCTGGGCGACAGAGCGAGACTCTGTCTCAAAAAAAATAAAAAATAAAAATATATGTATACACACACACACACACACACACACACACACACATACATATATATATGTCTTCTATCTGATCTACCCCTGAGCAAATCACACAGCAGGAAACGTTCTAAGTTTTAAATAAAAACCTTGATACAAAATTCTATTTACAGTATAATCTCAAATGCATTAGAGAGAGAGAAAATAAACAGGAGAAGTGGAAAAATATAAAGACACAAAAATCATAAGTATTTTTCGAATAATGGACCTAAACAGGATTGTCCTAAACTTTCTTTACAACATAGAGATGCTTAGTTCTGTAAGATACATGTTTAACATGACATTTTGTTAGCAACACTAATGTACTTTAACAAACATATGGTGCAGCATTAGGTAGGTTTCACTTTGGGGGTTTCATGTACTTGTTTGTTTGGTAAACCTGAGACACTAATATGCACTAGGTTTTGTTGTTGTTTTTGAGACAAGGCCTCACTCTGTCGCCCAGGCTGGAGTGCAATGACACGGTCTTGGCTCACTGCAACCTCCACCTCCTGGGTTCAAGTGATTCTCATGCCTCAACCTCTCGAGTAGCTGGAATTACAGGCATGCACCACCACGTGTGGCTAATTTTTTTGTGTTTTTAGTAGAGATGGGGTTTTGCCCTGTTGCCGAGGCTGGTCTTGAACTACTGAACTCAGGCAGTCTGCCCACCTTGGCCTCCCAAAATGCTGGGATTACAGGCGTGGGTCACCACCACGCCCAGCCTATGCGCTAGTTTTCAAATTCAGAGGATTAAATTTTCTCTACATCATATAAAGAAATGTGTAGGCTGGGCACAGTGACTCAAGCCTATAATCCCAGGACTTTGCGGGGACAGAGGCAGGTGGATCACTTGAAGTCAGGAGTTAAAGAACAGCCAGGCCAACATGGTAAAATCCCATCTCTATTAAAAAATATATACACAAAAAATTAGCCAGGTGTGGTGGCACATGCCTGTAATCCCAGCTACTCCAGAGGCTGAGGCCTGACAATGCCTTAAAACCAGGAGGTGGAGGGTGCAGTAAGCCAAGATCATGCCATTGCACTCCATCCTGGATGAAAGAGCCAGACTCCATCTCAAAAAGAAAGAAAAGAAAAGAAAAGAAAGAAAGAGGGAAAGAAAGAAAGAAAGAAACGTGTAAACATGCCCAAGAAAATCAGTCAACTGGCAAAAATGAACGGCTGATTTTTTTTTTCTTACTCATCCTTCCGTCTGAATCATTTCATTGTCCCACTGAATACCTTTCTTGCAGGATTCTAATCAAGACACAGATTGAAATCCAAACCCTCTAGTTCTTTGCTGTTTTATAATCATTTTTTCCTCAGGCCTCATAATCTGTTTTGTTTGGTTTTGTTGCGAGATGGAGTCTCACTCCAGTTACCCAGTCTGGAGTGCAGTGGCCAGATCTCGGCTCACTGCAACCTTCACCTCCCAGACTCAGGCAATCCTCCCACCTCCACTTCCCGAGTAGCTGGAACTACAGGCACATGCCACCATACCCGGCTAAGTTTTTATATTTTCAGCAGAGGTAGCGTTTCACCATGTTGGCCAGGCTAGTCTCAAACTCCGGAGCTCCAGCAATCCACCTACCTCAGCCTCCTGGAGTGCTGGGATTACAGCCTTCATCTTTATTTCTTTAAAGAAACACTTAAATAGCGCTTCTCTTCATGTATGCCTCTAAGCACTACATAATTACTCAGTTCACCTAAGTAATTCTTCAGGTTGGCATTCATAGCATGACGACTTAGTTTCCACCTTAGGCCAGCCTTTCCCACCTCTCCAGTGGATCCGTAATGTGGCCTTACGAGCACCCTCAAAGGGACTTCGCATCTTGTTCATCTCTTCCTGAGACACAGTCCTCCCACCCCCACCCCCAAAATTCACTTGTCACAGGTCAAGACAAGCTCAAATCCTGCCTGCATTAAACCTTCCCGAAGCCTCCCAGGCAGAGCTATCCCTACCCATTCCTCCCTCTGGTACTGGAGGTACAACAATTTCTGAAGAATATAAACTCTCAAAGGAATTAAACCTCCTGGTTTACATCGTCCTTCTCTAGTTTTCTCTCCTCATCCTGCCTAGCTCTGTGTTCTGCATAACAGATGTGGCTCGACATGTCATGTCATGTAAATACACTCATTTAATCTATAAAATAAAGATCGACTGTAGTTAAAGAGCAGTTTTCAGTAGTGCCAGCCATGAACAGAACACCATATACTGCCCCACATGATTCTTTATTACCAAAATTGTTATAAATGGTCATGATGTAAAATAATTGCCATTTTCTATGTGCCAAGTACCATGTAAGCACTTACATACCTTCGAAATTCACATATTCCCCCCAAATTACTCTTTAACAGAAAAACTTGCCTTATTACCCAAGACTATTATAATGTTCTCATACTACAGAGGGCTCCCCACTTTATAAAAAACAATACACTATTTGAGGAAGACACATTCACCAGAACTAACTCGATTAGGGTAGTTTTACATGTTCACAGAAATCATATGATAAACTATCAAAAAAATTGGATAGGGAGACAAAGAAATTTAACATGGATAGATGAATTATTCCTGGGGATTGACTTTACAATTGCTGCTGCTAGGAAATTTATAAATTAGCTCTAGAAAGATTCTTTAAAAGAAAAAAAAGTTGAAGGAATGAAGAAACAGGCACAAAAAGAAAAAAAAAGATAAATAAAACAGCCAGTTGCCATACTACGGAATCACAAGTATATTATTACAACAGGGAAAAACACCTAAATGTTTCAGAATTAGTCTTTGACACTGGGGATAAATTTGCAGTGCCAACATTGTCGATGGATTCAAAAAGCTCTGCATAGCAAACATCTCCAAGCAGCAAAGGTAACACGGGGTGGGAACTCTGTTTAGAGGGACTAAAAGTGATTGTAATCACACACACAAACACGCTGAAGTTAGAGATATCAGCCCAGAGTTTGAACAAAGGCATTCTGGGAAATGTGAAAGTAGAAATTATAGAAATAGATCACTTATTCATATTTCAATCACATTATGTAACTAAATACTTTCCTTAAAAACTAAACTCATGGTCGGGCGCAGTGACTCATGCCTGTAATCCAAGCTACTTGGGAGGCTGAGGCACAAGAATCACTTGAACCCAAGAGGCAGAGGTTGCAATGAGCCAAGATCGCACCACTGCACTCCAGCCTGGGTGACAGAGCAAGACTCTATCTCAAAAAAAAAAAAAAACTAAACTAAATTCATGTGAAAGAAGCTTCTCTGCCAAGACCAGGCCTGGAGAGCATCTGTGCTCTTCAGAAGCAAGTCCTCTTATAGCATCCGCAACTGAGTAAGGGTTGAAACAGGTGGCCCTGGAAACTCATTAGGAGCCCTCTGGTCCCTTTAAAGACCCTACAACTTCATACAAACTTCACCATATCAAGAGACAGAGGATAATATATTAGAAAGAGATAAGAAGTTGAAAAACAGTCCTCTCCTTGTGTTCTGTTGTGACACACATTTGTTAAATGAATTTTTAGCAAATTGAGGAATTTAACCATTTTAAGAAATCTTAGAGTCATAGAGACCTAAAACCTCCATCTTCTGTATTTGACCCAAATCTTAGAGCATCAACTGACCAGAGAACACACACGGCCTTTTCGGCTTGCTTCCAAATTCTCGGCTATGATATCAACGGAGTAACAACGTGAAATGTGCAAATCTCAGAACACAAAATATCAAGGAGCTATACTGGGAATAATGACTCTTTTCGTTTTAGGTAAATTTGCAGAAACATTATAGCAGTAAGTGCAGGCTTTGAAAAGACAAGGATATGCCTTGGGATTCTTCAACAGGACAGGGCCTGTGCGTGGGTGTCTGGAAAGGGCCAAGCCCCGAGAGCTGCTCCCAGCTCCACCTGGAGGGACCACTCACCTCTCCAGGCTCATCCTGCTGTGCAGACAGCACCCATGAGGATTTCTCTTTTCTAAAGTAAAGTTGTCGGAAAGTCTACATCTAAGTAAAAGGTTTTCTTTTTGATGATTTAAGCTTTTGCTCAATTACATATGAGAAAAGAATAATCTCTCATTTGATAAGATAATAAAACAAAATAAATGCCTCTAAAATACAACATTGTCACCAGAAGCCCTAATGGTCTTGTGGATAAGGCACTGGCCTCCTAAAACAAAACATTGTCACAGTAGTTTGATGAGAAACCAGTATAGAGGGTGTTCTGAGGACCACACTTCCTATCACATAAAACAAAATCCTGCCCTTGAAGATGCAAAATGCCCACACCTGCCACTGCTGTATCCTGCCCCGTTCCTCTGGAGAAGCTGCGTGAAAACGTCTTAGGCCCCACAGAGGCGGCGCCAGCATCCTTCACTCACCTGAATGTGCATGGCGCCCTCTACTGCTTCTTGGATACTGGGACAACCACTGATGAGTGACAGCTGCTCTTCCACACTCAGGGAGCCTTTCAGAGAGCCTGCCTGTTCCAGCAACTTCATCTCCTTCCTGGAAAGGCAGGGAGAAGGATCACTGTGAGCATTCAAGACCACATTTAAAAACAAATAAAGCTCGGCATCAGGAATCATCAGGGAAAAGCAAAGCGGAACCACAATGAGATAGCACCTCACACCCATTAGTGTGGTGACTACCAAAAACAGAAACTAGCAATTGTTGGCAAGGCTGTGGAGAAACTGGAACCTTTGTGCACTGTTAGTGAGGCTGTAAAATGGTGCCACCACCATGGAAAACAGACATGGCAGTTCCCCAAAACAGACTTACAGCATGCTCCAGCAATTCCACTTCTAGGTATAAACCCAAAATAATGGAAAGCAGGGTCTCCGAGAGATTTTTGTACACCCATGTGCACAACAGCATTATTAGCAATAGCCAAGAGGGAGAAGCAACCTAAGTTTCCATCAGTGGACAAGTAGATAAGCAAAATACGGTACATACACACAATGGAAATTATTCAGCATTAAAGAGGAAGGAAATTCTGGTACATGCTACGATATGGATGAACCTTGAGGACATTGTGCTGAGTGAAATAAGCAGTCACAAAAGGAAAATTACTGTGTGATTCCACTCACAAGAGGTATCTAGAGCAGTCAAAATAATAGAGGCAGGCCAGGTGTGGTGGCTCACACCTGTAATACCAACACTTTGGGAGGCTGAGGTGGATGGATCCCTTGAGGTCAGGAGTTCGAGACTAGCCTGGTTAACATGGTGAAACCCTAACTCTACTAAAAATACAAAAAAATAGCTGGGTGTAGTGGTGGGCACCTGTAATCCCAGCTACTTGGGAGACTGAGGCAGGAGAATCACTTGAACTTGGGCAGCAGAGGTTGCAGTGAGCCAAGGTCACGCCACTGCACTCCAGCCTGCATGACAGAGCAAGACTCTGTCTCAAAAAAATACTAATAGAGACAGAACTAGAATGTTGGTAGCTGCCTGGAGCTGGGGGTTGAGGAATGGGGAGTTAAGGTTTAATGAGTACAGAGTTTCAATTTGAGAAGATGAAAATGTTCTGGAGATGAATGATGGTGAGGGTTGCAAGACAATCTAAATATACTTAATACACTTAAAACATTAAGACAAGTTGTATTACATACACTTTACCACAACTTAAAATTTTAATTTTTTTTTTATATGAAATGAGCCCCATGGCAGGGGTCAGGGAATTTGAAAACAGTGGTTCTTAAACCTTTTCCTTGGGTCAGGCCGCTGGGGTGGAAGGATTGAAAGAAGGTACCTTACAACAGAGTAGGCTTCGTGGCATGTGAGCTGTGAGGTCACCTGGGCCACCAGGCTCAGAAGGGCCTGTGCTGGGTTTACCGCTCTGCTGTCAGCATCTTAAAATTCTTAATATATTTTGGCTTTGGGGGTTAATTTTTTTTTTTTTTTTTGAGACAGGGTCCTGCTCTGTCACTGAGGCTGGAGTGCAGTGGCACAGTCATAACCCACCACACCCTCAACCTCCCAGAATCAAGTGATCCTCCCACCTCAGCCTCCCAAGTAGCAAGAACTACACACGCGCACCACCATGCCTACATTTTAGACTTTTTGGTAGAGACGGTGCTTCACCATGTTGCCCAGGCTGGTCTTAATTCCTGGGTTCAAGTGATCCTCCTGCCTTGGCTTCCCAAACTGCTGGGATTATAGGTGTGAGCCACAGTGCTTGGCCCTAAATTTTTTTTAAAGAAGGAGAGAATGCTTGAGATTTTTTTTTTCTTGTGTAAGTAATTTGGAAGATTTGTAATATATCAGCTTAAAAAAAAAAATCTACCTACCTTAAAATAGGGCCAGAAAACAGATATCTTATTTTGGAGGATTATAAGGATGAACATACAGATTCCTGCTCGATCTCATCACCCACAGAACAACTCAGTGTTAGTATCAAATATCATGGACCACCATCCCCGATGAGCAGGCATTTTCAAAGCTTCATATAGAACAAACTCCTTGAATTGGAGGCTTATAAAGTTAGTGAGGCGAGGCACAGTGGCTCATGCCTGTAATTCCAACACTTTGGGAGGCCGAGGCAGGTGGGTCACTTGAGGACAGGAGTTTGAGACCAGCCTGGTCAAAATGGTAAAACCTCATCTCTACAAAAAATGCAAAAAGTAGCAGGGCATGGTGGTGCACACCTGTAGTCCCAGCTACTCGGGAGGCTGAGGTGGGAGAATCACTTGAGCCCAGGAGGTGGAAGTTGCAGTGAGCCATGATTGAGCCACTGCACTCCAACCTGGGAGACAGAGCGAGATCCTGTCTCAAAAAACAAAGAAGCAAGCAAAAAACAAAAACAAGTTAGTTAGTGAAAAATACACAAAACGAAATATGAGTCGTGGCCGTTCATTTAGAAGTTTATTAGTTGCATAGGGTGCTATGAGGCGTCTTAGCAACAGATTAGAAATTTAAGATTTAGAAGTTCGATAGCTAAAATCAAAAGAGAGCTGGTTCAAGGTAAGTGGCAGCAAATAAATATTTGAAACATCGTGGAGGGAAATGTAACAAAAAGGGCTATGAGAAAAGGTTTGTCTATTAAGATAAAAAGGAAACGCAGATGTACGAGGGTCCTACGGGGTCCTGTGATTCTGTCAGCAGCACCCAGCAGACCGCCCTGAATGCAGACGGTGCCTCGTACGCGGCATTATCCAGGAAAAGAGGGCACCATGTGATCTAAAGATCGTTTGTCTTTCACTGTGTAGCGTGTTTTGATCCATCTTTGAAAAGTTACAACTCTGTAAACATACTATAAAACCACTGAATCGGACGTGTCAAATGAGTCAGTTGTATGACACGTAAATTTATCTCGACAAAGCAGTGGCATTAATATCTTATTGCTACTGTAACAAATTATCACAAACAGTGGACTAAACAATACAAATGTATTATCTTACAGTTCTGGAGGTCAGAAATCCCAAGTAGACTAACATCAAAGTGTCGGCAGGGAACACACTCCTTCTGGAGGCTTCGAGGAGAACGTGTGCCTGGCCTGTCCCAGCCTCTAGAGGCTACCTGCATCCGAGGCTCATGGCTCCTTCCCCCTCCATAGCCAGCCACCCCCGCCCCACCTGTTGCTGTCATCATGTCTCCTTCCTTGACTCCTACCTCCTTTATCCCTCTAAGGACCCATTCGGTTACACCAGGCCAAGCCAACACTCCAGGATAATCTCCCCATCTTGCCATTCTCAATTCAGTCACATCTGCAACGTCGTTTTTGCCATGTAAGGTTCTGGCTCATCCAAAGTTGTGCCAAAGATCTGGACATCTAACTGTGGTTGCAGGTATGTTGTTCTGGAGATGATAAGCAATTTGCTCCTGGCAGGCACTCGAGGGTGCTACCAACCAAGGAACCAGTCTGAATTCTTGGTTCGGGGGTTTTTCAGGTGACACAGGTAGTACGAATTGGAGCTCCGAAACTTTGAGGATTGCTCTCTGGTTACAAATTCCCAGGGCGGTTAGAAAAGCAGACCCAAGGCCAGGCGCAGTGGCTCACAGCTGTAATCCCAGTAGGTAGGGAGGCCAAGGCAGGCGGATCACCTGAGCTCAGGAGTTGGAGACCATCCTGGCCAACATGGTGAAACCCTGTTTCTACTAAAAATACAAAAATTAGCCAGGTGTGGCTAATTACAGCCACACCCCTGTAATCCCAGCTACTTGGGAGGCTGAGGCAGGAGAATCACTTGAACCCGGGAGGTGGAGGTTTCAGTGAGCCGAGGTCGTACCACTGCACTCCAGCCTGGGTGACAGAGTAAAACTCTGTCTCAAAAAAAAAAGAGAGAGAGAGACAGAAAGAAATGCAAACTTCCACGGTGGGCAGACTGGCTGAGGGCAGGAAGGAGCAACAGAAACACAGCCAGTAGTGGAGACACCATGACTGTAGGCCATAAAAATGCAGGACTTTAGAAAAGACCCAGCCACCCTATAACTGCCGTGAGCTGCCAGAGGCTCAGGTGTCCCCTGAACGATGTCTGTTTCTGGACAAAGATGCAGCTGCAGAGATGGCGCCCTGTGTCCCTTCCCCCCTCGCCTGGTGTCACAATCAGCCCTCATCAAGAGCAGGAGTCAGAGTACCCTGTCCTTTATGGCCTGAAAGGGCTATTTTGGAGATCACAGCACATTTGAAGTATCCAGTTTTGAACTATATGGTTGATATAAGTTTGACCTGCAGCAGTGGCTAAGCCTAGGAGTCAACACTGGTAAAAGACAACCACACTGCCCATGAATACAACCGGAGGAAAAGCATTTCTATGGCACAAGAGCTATTTGTAGCTACCAAACAAAAACTCACTTCAGCTGAATTATAAGTTTTTGGTGTTACAGAGAAATAAGTGAGATGTTTAATACAGAGCCCGTTGCTTTTCTAAGACTATTTCCTTTTCATAATTTAAGAAATATTAAATATAGAAAGAATAATAAACATCCTCATATCTCCACTCTCCAGAACTAACTACTTTTTAAGTAAACAAAACCTAAATGATTCCCTTAGCACCACCACCCCAGCCTCACACAAGCATCCTCCCACTGAACACACAGGGCCTCTGGATGCCAAGGCCTGCAACCCTTGCGTCCTTTAGGAAATTATGTCTGAGCGCCTGATGTGCTCGAAGCACCTGCTCCAAGCTTAGTAGGCCAGCTGTGTGTCTTCAAACCTTTCCACTAATCCAAAGCAAATTTTTCACCTTTTTTCCCCAAAAGTACTGAGTGAGATGAGACAGATAATGGGAGAACAGGAGTCTCTTGTTTCTGGATCCTCCAGGGACCACCCCGGAAGGAGAAAGTCCCTGGGAGACGGCAAGCAGTGGCAGGAAAAGCCACAACCACCGGCCTCTTGCAGAGCGGACTCAGAACATGCAGTGGGGGTTCTGCCCCAGGCCCTTCCTCCCTGGGCAGCACACACAGGTAGGACAGAGAACCTGGGCGCGAGGGAGAGACCTGTGTGGTCACGCATTAACCCATCAGCCAACTGCAAACTTCAGGACCCTGCTGCGTGGTCCCGAGGGACA